AGCCTGTGTTGTGAGTGTTAAGTATTGGTAAGCATCCGTTGTATCAGTGAAGCATCTGTAAGGGGTTTAACTGGTAGGTAAACCCACGACACATCTATTTGAAGATTTCTCTGCTGCACATTGTTTGAGCTCTGACCCACTTCACCATCTTCAAGAATACATTTTCCCCTCATATTTCCACTCCAGATCAAAGCCAGTCTGTCTCGATGCTCATTGTCAGGGTCACTGATCACTTTCATTTCGTTGCCTACTGTATGATCTGATGTTCTTTTATCAGAGCCTGTGATGGTGGTTGCGTAATAGGAGTCAAAGAGTCCGCCTTTTATTTTGAAATCTCATTCTTCAGAGCCGCCAGATCCTCACAACCAACATTTATCTGCCTCGTATACTTTTATGAGCCGCATGAGATGCTGCAGTGAAACCTTCCAGTCAGATCCAGCTAATTAAACGCTCGAGTTGTGGCCGCGAGCTCTGTAAAGATAACATACTGGATTTGATGGGGAACTCAGGAATTATTGAGAACATTTTGAAATTAAATGTGCGTACCCATTTTTATCATTGTTTTTTCCCCAGTTTTTTACATGTGAATAAAAACTGGCTGATTTAGCTGAAGGCATCATTAGCCGACATTCACTGTTTATCACAGCAATCCTTTTTATGTTTTGTGTACAATTTGTAAATCTGACAATGGAAGCTTATACTGTGATAGTTGATGATGTATTTGAACCTGTTTAATAATGTACCACTTTGTGACATGAGCAAACCAAGACATCAACCGGAAGATTATAAGTCAGGCTGTTTTAAATACGGGTGAAAAAAAGGAAATGTTTGGCATATTCTATACATTTAATTATCCAATAGATCAGACTAAAAGACTGAGGGTCTTATCCAGATAATTCCATATTCATTATTCCATATAAAGCCAGCTTTGTTTTATATCTATTTGCTACTTGAAATCTCTGCATTTAATTATGTGATGCTTTAATGATGTATTTTCATTTTTTTCTAAAGGTTTTTGTTTTTAATGTGCTGTCCTGTGTTTACTACATGATTTATCACTTATATTGTGTTTTTATACTGTCGGTAAAAGGGAAATTCCTCCAGGGGCAATAAAGCTTTCATTCATTCATTTATTCATCCATTCATCATTCTTTGAAACATTGCCCCAGTTTATTAGGAACCTGGAGCATTGTCATTCAATCAACCATCAATATTATTTGTATTCCTGTCTCTCTTCAGCTGTCCTATCCAATAAAGGAAAAAAAGCCCAAAAAATACATGTAAAACATAGATTCTTTTAAATGACATATTTCAAGCTGTTTTTGGTCTTCTTTTAAAACCCATTGTTTCAAAATACTATAAAATTACATGAAAGCAATTTAAAAAAGCATTGAATTGAAACTAAAATACAGTAAATAGCGATTAGCTTTCTATGGAAGCAAATAAGAGACATAATTATTTGTATTTTAATAGCCACTGAATGTTAAATATTTAACTTTAAACACCACTGAATTTATAGCATTGAAATATTTTACTGTGAAAACAATGTATCTGAATTTATTTGTCCTTAAGTCTACTATTTAAAATTCAGATCCAAGAATTCAGGTGTCATAATTTCAACATTAAAAAGATTCAGGTTCTCAAATTCGATTTGTCAAATTCAGATCTAAAAATTCAAGTTGAATTCAGGTGTTAGCAGAATAATGTTACTTAAGGTCTGGTTTTTCTCATGCTACAGTAGTGGGACTACATCACGTGTATTTAGTCGTCTTGATAACACTTTGAAATTGAGTCAGATAATCAGAGGTCACACCCTAACATGTGTGGGATGGCATAGCAACAGCCGGATGTGTTTGGGCCTCAGCAGAGCCGGGAGAGGGCCCCCCAGTGTAAACCAGTGTCCCTGCTGGACCCACTGATCCACCTCCCCAGTGTAGACCAGTGTCCCTGCTGGACCCACTGATCCACCTCCCACATACAGAATCAAATCACACAAAACACAGAAGATCAAAAACTACAATCTTGACTTTTTTTTTGATCAACTTAATGTTATTTAAAATGTATGTGTTTGGGGTTTTGTTCACAGAAAGTAAGTTGTTCCAATTATGCCAGCGTCTGACCTGTGATGTAGCTGTTTGTCAGGAGGCTTAACACCTGCCTCAGCTCCAATATTTCCAGCATGGCGACCGCCATCGACGGGTTTCAAAAACAGCCTTTAGACACCAATGGGTGACACCACTCAGGCTTCTTCCACGATTATTTAAGATCTATGACTTGACTCATAGTTTTGAAAACCTGCGCTTCAAGTGGAGGAACACATCTGTGGCGAGCTGAAGTAGTGCTAAGTAGTGGCTTTCTAGCAGAAAAGTGAAGTGCTGTGATTTCTTTCAACATGGCGAGCATTTACACAACGTTGGTTTTGAGCTCAGTTATGTGGAGCAAACATCCACACTGACCCGCATCTCCTGTGACTAAGACACATACCACCGACAATACAAGCCCACTTCAACAATACCAAACTATCCATTTAAGCTCTGATGGATTAACTCAGTATATATAGGTGCAGCAGGATTATATAAATTCTAAAAATGCCAAGGAGCCAAATGCTTTTTCTGTAAAACTTGGTGGATAACAAAGAAAGAGCCGAGAGGGGATGAATAATTGTGTTTGTTGTTGATTATTGTGTGAATCATATTTCATGACCTTTACAGTGTCCAGATCTCAACTCAACCAGGCTTTGGTAGATTTTGTAGCGACATGCTGGGACAGTCTGCTCCAATGTAATAATCAGTTTATCTATTTAAAGTGTCTTGTTAATGGATCATCTGATCATGCAAAAGAAATGAATGTAGTCATAAGATACTCTGATTTTTATCCATTCATTTGTCACTCAGTATATTCAGCCTAAAATATGTGACATGTTTTTATTACCTCATATCACTCAGACTGCTGTCTGTTTACACAGCGACCTGAGAGATTCACACTCCCTACTTTTCCATTTGAAAGTTTATCAGTTGGGCTGTATTAATAGGCGGAGGTAGAAAAGTACACACACTTTCCGGGTGGGAATGTAGGAGGGTGTAACACACACGCTAAATGTTCCTTGTGGTTCAGTGGAATAAGTGATAATAACAGATTAGATTAGGACTTCTCACATCTACTCGGAAAAAGTTTATTTTTGAAAAAAAAAAGGTCTAAACTTAGATTCTTCTGTGCCCATAATGATCTGTGTTCTTACCCTTTACTGATTCGTATTCTTGCCTTAGTGTAACAGATTATCACTTGCCTTGTCTTTATGAGTTGAGTTCTGGATAAAATGGAATTTGTCAGCTGACAGTTTCACCAGTAGATGGCGATGTTTCCTCACTATTCGCTCTCGATGAAAATCATCCTCCTGCACCAGCAGCCCCGCAGTGATCGAAATGCATCCTCAGCAAACTGACCCTGACGCTCCACTCTCTGATCTGCACTTAAACAAAGCAGGTGACAGTAGTTTGATCTTTATTTATTGATTGGTTTATAGATCAAATGTCAGTGTAGAGTCTGCGTGAGGCCGGTCTGGAGTTACAACATCAGGCCGAGTCATTCCTGCAAACTACACAAGGATTTGTCACGTCTACCACAAACACTACATGAATCTTTACCCTGAGATGATTACAGCACAGTTACACAGAGAGATATGTTCAGTAATAAATGAAAGAATACAACACATTATATGATCAACAGGAAGGCAACATTCATATTTTCAGTGCTGCATTTGGCCATGCATGAGACATTGATGTTTTTTTAAGGATGCTTTGCACTGAACTTAAACACTTTCTTTCCTCCATTTGACATCTTAAAAAAATAATATACACCAAATACTGAACAAATGTTCTGCTACTGTTATCTTAACGCACTGACAGTTTGGGTGGTGATTATGGAGGCCCAAAACTGACAAATGTAATCAAGTAAAACAAATGACTTTTTTTAAATTCAATGTTGTGTAAGTAACCTGGAGCGTAAAACAAACGACCACATTTTTTCTTTCTTCTTTTTAACTTCAAAACTATTACAAAACGAGTTACAAAAAATACACTTTTAAATTTATTTTTTCATAATAAGAGTCAAAAAGATATCTTTTATGTAACCTATTAAAATCCATCCATCCATTATCAATACTGCTTTTACTGTTCGAGGTTACTGCGGAGCTGGAGCCGATCCCAGCTGTCATTGGGCGAGAGGCGGGGAACAATCTGGACTGGTCACCAGTCAATCACAGGGATAACTATAGAGACAAACAACCAGCCACACTCACACTCACACCTACGGTACGGGCAATTTAGAATCACGATTAACCTAACCAGCATGTCTTTGGACTGTGGGAGGAAGCTGGAGTACCCGGAGAGAACCCTCACATCCTCACGAGAACATGCAGCTCCATACAGAGAGGATCCTGTCTGACGGGGATTTAAACCAGCCAATCAAATTAGATTAATTCTTAGATTATTTATAGTTTAAATCTCTAAATCTCTGGCTCAGTTGGTAGAGTCGTAATCTCTCAACTGTAAGGTCAAGGGTTCGATCCCCAGCTCCTGCAGCAACATGTGCGATGGATCCTTGGGCAAAACACTTTAACCCGAATGAATGTGTATGAATGTGATTAGTTACTTCTGATGGTCTCACTACATAGCAGCCTCTACCATCAGGGTGTGAATGTGTAGGTGTGACCTGCGGTGTAAAAGCACTTTGAGTAGACAGAAGACTAGAAAAGCGTGATACAAGCTCAAGTCCATTTACCGTTTTCCATCAACTAACTTGTAATAGCAAAAAAAAATAAAAAATTGGAAAGAAACTAAATATGTAAAGACTTCCTTTTGTCTTTTTTTTCACCACATTTAAATTGCTAAACAAATTGATGCCTTTAGGTTTGTTTTGACGCCAAGACTTTGAGTACATTTAGTCAGTTTTGTGCCTACATCAACGACAACCTAATTTCTACAGGAAGTTGAAGTATTCGGGAGAAACTCTTGTGAGGGTTTAAATAAAAGGGAGCAGGCCTGTGACTGTGCAGCACCTTGCTCCTGTCTGTTTGAACTAAACAACGTGATGCTATACTGTGTACTGAAGAGTCAAATGAATATACTTTGGTAAATACAAATACACGTTATCTCAGGAAAAAAAATGATTGCGATGGACAAAGACAACAGAAGCGGCGATGAGCTCTTTGGCGACATTTTCAAGATTCTTGAAAAATGCTTTGGAGTCTTGGACGAAGAAGAGTCTGCACATTAAAAGTAGCACCATTTGAAAGTTCCAGTCCATTCTCTTCGGTGTTATATGGTGCTCGATGTGATAAAGACGTAAATCCTGGTGAGGAACGAGGTGAACGAGCCTTGCCTCAGCAGCTTCATCTCCACATCGATCAGGAAGTCTTTGGGCTTGCGGACTTGTCTCTGCAGGTAGACGGCGCCTGTGAAGCTGTTCAGCTTCCTGGTGCTGAAGTAGCTCTCCTCGTTGCCCTTAATGATGCTGATGGTGATGCGATCGCCGGTGTAGGCTGGGGATGGTCCGATTCGGAAGATCTGGGCGGGGATGATGATGTTTGTCTGGAAGCTGAGCTGGTAGTACGTGATGCGGACCGGGGAGTTCTGACAGTCCAAGGAGTTAGCGGGACAACTGGTCCGCTCACAGCGACTGAGGACAAGTGAGAGAGAGAAGGGAGGACAGATTAGAAAGGTAATATTTGTGTATAGAGTTTGTTAGCATGTTGGCTGTGAGTCCTGCTTCTAGCTGTTTTTGTTTACAGAAACAGACACAGCACAGCTAGACAAACCAAGACACCAACAGGGGTCAGTTTGCAGTCAGGAAATGCAGAAGCAAGATAGTTTTCTAGCTAAGTTTAGCTCCTTGTATGCTACGGGGAACCATGCCAACACCCTAGACTCCAGGTACTAGAGATGGGCATTACCTGATGCCTGACAGCTCTCTCACTACTCTCCCATCCCAACTGTGTGGTTGTCAGTCCAGGGTCAGAATCCTAGTTGGAGTAACTTTAAGGTAACTTCCTGTCGTCAAAATCCTCCACGCTTCAGCTGCCAGTAACATTTAATCGTCTCTCAACCACAAGGTCAGGGATTCGATCTCCAGGTCCTGCAGCTACATGTCAGATGTGTCTTTGGGCAAGTTGCTCCCACTTACTACGTAGCAACCTCAGGAATCTGGCATCAGTGTGTGAATGTGTAGGTGTGACCTGCAGTATAAAAAGCGCTTTGAGTAGTCAGAAGACTTAAAAGAAAGGGCTATAGCCTATAAGCTCAAGTCCTTTTACCATTTACATACTCAGACACACTGTAAAACGGTGGGATGTGCCACGAAAAAAAGCTATAAATAAACAGTGTTTAGAAGTATTCCTAAGCCTTTTGAACAGTTGGACATAATTCATGTAAGTTCTTACAACACCAAACATGTGTTTTCAAAGACTCCTGTTTGTAGTGTAGTCCCCTACGCTTCACTGATTAATCCACGGCAAGGAATAATTTACACAATTCATTAAATTTCTCTTTTATTTCACTTCTAATATCCACACACACCACTCTCTCTCACTTCAGCCGACGTTACCTAACACTGGGTTCTTTGTAAATGTATGTTCTACTTTTTCTTCCTTATTGAATTGTACTTTAAATGTTGATATGTATGTACAACCCCCCCGCAAAATATAGCACATTACAATTAAAACAACATTTTAGCATTTGTCTTCCAGTTCCACTTGGAGGGCTTTCCTAGTCTGTGTTATGATTCTGATGCTCTCTCACTGGTTATCCATCTCACACCAGATTTGTGGAGTAAAGTTTGATGTATTGCTCCATAAACCTCGCACGGCTCTCGCCAAAACAAGAGTGTTTTTGGTACCTGCTCCATGACTCACACAGGGTGGCACTTAAGGCAGACCAGGGAGGACACTTTTAATCTCAGCCTTGGTTTGCGGCCGCCAAGTCTTGTCTTGAATGAAGGATGCCTCTCCATAACAAGCCAGGCCATGTCACACTTAAGTTAACAAGGTGTCTCTTGATAACACTGATAACATGTCTCCCCTGGGCTGTGTGAACAGTGTGTGTGTGTGTGTGAACAGTGTGTGTGTGTGTGCTGTTTCTGTTCACTGGAGCGCAGAGAGCTGCAGAGACAAACCCAGGAAGTACCAGCTGATCAAATCCATCTCACTTCATTCTAGGGCTCTACAGAATTCCTGTTCAATTACTAGCGAGCATCTACAGCAGGATCAGCGCTAACAAGGTTCCCTCTGTGCGGCACGCTTCACTGCGTGGACATGGATGTACAGTCTGGCCATTAAAAGAGTATAAGCAGAGGGGGAAAGCCTTCTGAGAAATCCCACTGTTATAAATCTATGGTTTAGGGGTATAGTATCTCAAATATCAAACACTGAGGTGAAGTCAGAACTTTAGCAGAGCAGAAAACTTTAGAGGTCCCACCTTCACACCTTCAACACTGGAGAAAACCTTTTTTTAATGAAACACGACTCACGTGTCAGAAACCCTCTTGTAGTTGGGAGGGCAGTTGAAGGAGAGACATCTGAAGCCTCCCTGTAGGTTATAGCAGGTCTGTGTCAGGGAACAGTTGTGGGTGCCAGCTGTGCATTCATCAATATCTGTATAAAAAAAAAAAAAAAAAACATGAAACAAAAATGGATGCCCAATGTGAAAACATTAGGCCATTGGTTAACGATGGCTGTATATTTTGAATGTTACTCATTTATCTTCAGGGAGATATTTTGACACAGTTACACTAAAGTCTTTCTTTTTAAAGTTCTTCTCACGGGCTGTTTCAAAATCATTCTGTCATGACCATAAACTGTAAATGTTTATGGATGAAGCCTGAGTGACGTCAGCCATCTGTTACATCATTAAATGGACGTGTCTGTAAAAAAAAAACAACAACTGGATGTTTAAAAAGGCCTCACCTCTGCAGGTGTGTCCATTGGTGGACATGGAGTATCCATGAGGAGGACAGGCACACTTATAACTTCCAGCTACATTCACACACTGGAAGGCACAGAGGTTCCCAATGCTCTGGGAGCACTCATCAATATCTGATTAAAAAAAACAAAAAAAACATCATACATCATTAGTCAGATAAGGGACCTGTGTGGATGTGAAGGCAGGCTCAGGTTAAGATGTGAGTGTGTGTGTGTGTGTGTGTTCTGAACACCTGAATGACTGATTTTCTTTTTCTTTTTGGGGGCCCTTCGCAACAGAAAGTTATTTTTTGTCTGGACCACCTGAGAATCTTTTTGCTTTTAATCTGGTCTCAGTATTTACAGATATATTACAACATATTTGAATCAATGAAACTAAAAAGTCCTTCACACATTTGGTGTACTAAATATTCATAATTTCAATCTCTCTTTCCTCAAAGGGCTTAAAAAATATATTTTCTTTATACATCTGCAGACATTTAAGCCATCACTACCAGAAACATGGGCTCTTGTGTACAAATTCTGCACATTTGTTGTAGATACATTAATTACTGATAAATCCACTTGAGCTTATATGGTGTTTTTTCTAGTCTTCTGACTTTACTCAAAATGCTTTTACTACGCAGGTCACACCTACACATCCACACACTGATGACAAAGGTTGCTCTGTAGTGTGACCATCAGAAGTAACTAATCCCATTCATACACATTCACAAGCCGACAATGAAGCAGAGGTTAAGTGTCATCATGTGGCTGCAGGAGCTGGGGATCGAACCCCAGACTTTCCGGTTAAGAGACGACCGACTCTGCCAACTGAACCACAGCCACCAATAACTGTGCATGAGATTGACATTTTGATGACATTTTCCTGAAGTATCAAAAAGGTAAAAAGTACAAGGACTGCTGAAATCTTATTGTAGGTCCCTTCATGTAGCCTTTGTATGTGATTGAAGCATCTTTTTAAATGACATACTTGACTGGATGTAAAGGAGGTTTGGTCTTAGATAAGGTATGTGATTGGTTATCTTTTTAGACACTACCACTAGGGGGAGCCAAAGTCTTAAACATTGGCATTTATATAGGGAGGCTCTCAAGTGACACTTTATTTTTTACTTTTAATGGCACACTAAAGTACAACAAAACTTTGATCAGATTAACCCATGCGGTCAATTGCATACAGTATCATGCAAAAACACTCTTCCACATATTCTACCTTTACAGATATTATTATGAGCAGTTTAACCAACTGTCTGTTTTCAACACAGGATTGTTATGGAGTTATTTTCTAGAACATTCCTGTTTAACAAAATCTCCCTTTTGAACTATTTAAGACGAGAGAAAATATGAAGTCAGGCTGTGCAATATGTCGCATTGAAGGCAGCGAGCAGCGTTGAACTGCTAGTCTAACAATGTTGATTTTAAATGTATTTTAAATATGTAAAATAAATCCTTGACTTGACTGCTTTAGGTTAAAATATGTCTGCTACTCTACATCTCTCCACCATTTCAGATGAGAGAGAGAAACATGACATGTATAGCAGTATAGTTCAGTCTCATTTTAACTACTACCTCGGCAGTAGTAGTTCACACCACATTCAGACACTGATGGCAGAGGCTGCTGTGTAAAGTGTCAATCACATTCACATGCAGAACCACTTTGGGGTTCAGAGTCTTGCCCAAGGACACTTCGACATGTGTCTGCAGGAACTGGGAGTCCAACCCTCGACCTTCCTGTTGAGAGACGAGCGAGTCTTCCACACAGCCACCCAATAAAACACTTAGTCGATAAAAACATTTTTGACTGTGTCAATTAAATATTTTATTACCATTTTTACTTTGTGAGGCAGAGTTTATGGATGAACTGTTTCACTGAATTTAAATCGATTTAAAGGGTGCACTTGACACACATATAATTGCCCTATAAAATATTTCCCTATAAAGTTAAAGCAATAAATGGCATCTTTAAACACGAAGCAGCCTCAAATATGTTCACATTTATTTGAGTTAGTGTGTCCTTCTCACTTGGTGTACACAAGGATGAAATCTATATCGAGCTCAGTGAAAGTCTGGTTTTGGTTTCCTCTTATTCCACAGATAACAATCTAGTAACTTTGTGAAAAACATACCTTCACAGGTGTGTCCATCCTCTTTCAGGTAGTAACCTTGGCGACAGTAGCACTGGTACGAGCCGTAGATGTTGGCACACTCCTGGCTGCAGGGGTTCTTCTCACATTCATTAACATCTAAGTACAAAGAAGAAGGACACATGATAAGAATTGTTTCAGTTTAGGGCGAAGATGGCCGAGCGGTTATGTTGCATGTCCCTTGTATGGAGGCTATAGTCGTAATCGCAGCAGCTGAGGGTTAGAATCTGACCTTGGACCTTTGCTGCATCTCGTCCCCCAATCTCTCCGCGTTACATTTCCTGTCTCTCTTCAGCTGTTCTAACCAAAGAAGGCGAAAAGGCAATAATAACTTTAAAAAAGGAATTGTTCCTGCTTTCCATTTTCTTAAAAGGATAAAAATGCCCTCTGCTCTTTCCTCATTGTACACAAATCCAGTGAAAAGCACCAATTTAAAGTGTTTTTTAAATCACTGCTTTCTCAAACCAAGCCATTTGGTTTCTACACTCAAAAAATGTAACAATTAAAAAGATTCATTGTCCAAATTATTTTATAAAAACAGCAGGCTGCTGTAGGTTTTGGCAAAAATGTTGGTGAATTAAAACATCTGCTTCCCTTTAGTGAGTGTTAGGAGTGAGCATGTGTGTGAAATAAAGTCAAAATAATGTAAGAAATATTTGAAACGGATGTTGTCCTTGTTAGTCTGTATTTTCCTGATCTTTTTCTAAATTCACAAAGTTATAAGAAAATACCCAAAGTGACCATCTGAACTCAACAAAAAGCACAAACAAAACCCATTGCAGAATCACGACTTCAGCTTTGACTCATGATTTCTTATCATGCTCTGTGTTATCGAGCTGTTTCTCCAAGAACGATATGCTTCGAATGTCTGAAGCAAATTAGTCTGAAAAAGCAGTTAAAAAAAAATCTCATTAAGTTGCTCAGACAAGCGTGATACATGACAACCTTGATGAATGAAAAATGGTTGCACCCGGATAGAGAAAAAGACACCCTCACATTTTTGACAGAGCCTCCTCAATTACGGCTGCGACAAACTGAACATAATGTAAATCACGCTCCTGTTCTGCTCTGCTCCTTGAAGCACAACTGGGACGACAACACACTGAAGACTGATGGCGACTAAAACCTGTAGCCCACTCCATATGCATGTGAGACACATCTGCATCCCAGTGATGGAGGCTGAAGACTTGGATGCTTAATGTTGTCCCTAGAGGCTTACCTTCAAGTCTTCAAGTCTTCAAGTAAAATAAGTCCAACTGAACAATGTGTTTGAGGAAGAGTCAGGCTTACCTTCACAGTTCTTGCCATCAAATGCCAGGGAGAAGCCGGCTGTGCATGAGCAGTGGTAGGAGCCCGGGGTGTTTTCACAGGTCTGGGCACACAGCCTGCCAGGATAGCGCCAGCACTCATTTACATCTGTCAGTGCAGGAGAAAGAGCCATTAGACCGCAAGAAGGTACCTCTGGGCCTCTGAGGACTTAATGCCAGTTCTCATCAGGACACACACCCGTTGATTTGGACAGCGACTTCTTATCAATGTAGGCTAATTATTCTTATCGAGATAATTTGAAAACGGGATAACACTGGGAGCGATTGGTAGAGAGCATGCTGACACAGACTCTATAACCTTTGCTTATACAGGTAGTGGGAAATGAACCGTGAAAAGGCTGCACATGTTAGGACAGAGGTTTATCAAACGTTTCTCTGTTCTTATCCCTATGTGATTCTTTTTTTTTTTAATCAATTGTTGGGCATCCAACAAAAAGATTTTCTGTATAACGTCTGAATTTTGGGACCAACCATTTAACCTCCGGCTCGTTCTCCTAGAATCTTAAACGTAGACATGACACAAGGTAAATGCAACTATAAAGATACCTGTTTGGATACCATGGCAACAGAAATAGAGGCCTGCGCTCCCAGTATTGGGTTGTTCCTTGCCTCAAAGTCCCCCAAAAAATGTAGGCAAAACCCTGCACACTGTCCAAATTGCACAAATACATTTGGCAACGTTTCGCTTGCCAATTCATTGGTAGTTGATTTTAAAACATGACTAATACTATTCATCATTTAATAATGGAGATCGCATCATTTTAAAATGTGTGGTATCTTAAAAAGTCTCGAAGTATATCAACATTAGTCAATCTTTTCTCATGCAGTGATGGAGGTGCTGATCTTTGCACTCTTTCATATCCTGTCACCTCTCTGTTCCTGTAATGACGAGCTCATGATGCTGACGTAAGTCAGTCTTTGTTAAGTACAAATATCTGCCACAAAAAGAAAGAGATAAAGCCAGCATGTTTCAGAACAGTCAGTCTAAATTAATCTGCCCACCTTATGTCAGTGTCCATTTCCTTTAATACATACATTATCTTAAACTGCCATGTGCACAATGAGTTGTACAATGTTTAAGATATATATATTTGGACTTTTATTTAGAGAAAGGACAGTGGACAGTCAGACATCGGGGAGAGAGAGAGAGAGAGAGATATACGGGAGAGGAGCTGCAGGTTAGACCTGAACCCAGGCCGCCAACCTAGAGGACTACAGCCTCTGTGCACCAACCACTATACATTTTTAACATTTAAACATTTTGAAGTCGTCTACAGATAAAGAAACAACCCTCTTGACGATGGAAGTCTGCCTTGTGTTTCTTTCAGCTCATAAGTTTACCGACTCTGAATCTTTTTTGATTGGATTTCTTTCCCTTTTTGGCTTAAACAGAGCATCTTTGACTTTTTTTTTCCACCTTCGGAGTTGGCTCGGTCTTCAAAAAGTATTTGGACATTAAACCTTAAAATCTGCTCGTCATCATCATCATCATCTGGCAGACCTGACACAGCGAAACGTACCATTGCAGGCCTTGCGGAGTGCGTCATACTGGTAGCCCGTCTGACAGTCACAGCGGTAGCTGCCAGGCAGGTTGTGACAGATCTGGCCCACTCCACAGCGGTGCGTTCCCATCTGACACTCATCAATGTCTAGACCGGCAGAGAGAAAGATAAAGCACCTCAGCACTGACCCAGTCTACACACCTGCCTGAGTGTGGCTGAAATACAGCCAAACACCTCACTCACAAACACCCACAGCACCAAAACACATACAGGGAGAAATTCATACAGAGTGTCTTCTCGTTCTCTCTCACTTTCATACACTTACAGAAAACACTACATGAAATTGTTTCCTTAAAAAAGTGGAAGACTACTGAGCACTAACCAAACTGCATGAATACTAGTGATGACATTAGTTTGCAATTATTTGAATTGTAGAAATTCGATAAATCACAGATTTGGTTAAAGCTCCTGTGAGGACCTTCTGGTTTGTGTGGACCCTTGTGGACAAAACAAGAATTTCATCCCGCTATGTTTCATCAGTCAAACATATCACTCACTGTGAATCTCCGCCATGCAATCTGTAACCAAAGTCTGTTTCTGCGGCGCGCCGTAACTCACTTTGTCCGACACGTCCCTCCTGGCAGCTGTTAGACGCATTAAAATGACTCAATAAAAAACCATCAAGCTAGTCCCTGATGTTCCTGTTTGCCTTTGTAGCTCATAAAGAGGCACTTGTATTAATTTCAGACTGTTTTCATATCCAGCTATTTCACGTTTGTCTGATCTTTATCAGTGTTGAATGAACATCTCTGGCTTTACAACCACCACTCCAGAATAAAAAGCAACTGGGCAATGTCATCTTAGGCTTTAGGAAATTTGGGGTTGGGTTCTTTTTAGAGTAATATTTGTCATTAAACAGATTAAACTGTGGGCTGATCAATCAAAGTGAGACAATGAGTCTACTGTAAGGGGTTTCAAATTTGGTGCATTTTAATCCTTAAAAAGAAAGTCTTCTCTCACTGTTACGTTCAATATGGGACATTTTAGACTTAGACTTAGACTTAGACTTTCTTTATTGTCATTCAAACAATTCAAACTTGTACTTTACAGTGCAGATAAGAACGAAATTTCGTTGCGTTTGGCTCGTTGTAGTACAGGATAAAAACAGCAGCAGTATTTACATAGAAAAATAAAAGGTGCAGATATAAATAGATATAAAAAGAAAAACTATGAGTAAAAATACTATACAGATAAATATATTGCACGTTATATGTATTTTACAGTCCAGTGAGGTAGTCCTGTGTGGGGGTTTGAGGGGGAATGGAGGGATTATTTTTTCCTGTTCATTTTACTTCTTAGTGTCCTTCATACGTTGTATGCTGATTGCTGGCTGTATGTGTGTACTGATGAAACAAATTGCCCTCTCACAGGGATAATAAAACCAAACTTGAACCTTGAAATTTTAAAACATTTTCAAATTTTGATTGCGATTGCATCTCTTCCAATTCAGACCAAAGCAAAAGCCAATCACAGAGCTCCATAGGTCTTGTTATTCAGAATATTCAGATAAAGTGGCATAATGGAAAAAAAAAAAACAAGGTCACAATTTCTCATTCATACACATCATTTTTCAGGGTTTTGCTCTCGTTCTAACTGACCAGAGAGGCTCATTATTTTTGTTTTCTTAAGGCTTTTTGTGAAAACCGAGTGGAACATTTGTGTGCTAGCCAAAATCAACATCAATACTTTCATACACATCTTTCCATGCCCGCCTGCTCTGTCCATGCTTTCTGCTAAAGACGTCAATCTCACCAACACACTTGGATCCATCTGGGCTGGCGTGGTAGCCGGGGCTGCACATTATGGTCTTCTGCTGGCAGGTGTAGGAGCCCACTGTGTTGATGCAGTGAGAGCCGGAGCTGCATGGCTCACTCAGGCTGCTGCACTCATTTATGTCTGCATAAACACAGAGAGAGGGAGAGAGAGAGAGAGAGAGAGAGAATGAAGCCTCAAGACAGCTGAGGAAATGACAGCTCCACAGGGGAGTGATTGTGAGGGGGTTTAATCTTGAATGACAGGCCGACCTATGACTGGAACAATAAGGCAGTGGTGTTTTTTACTTGTTGACTCGTTGGTTTTCATGCTTACTATATCATGGGGAGCAGTGATGTCGAAGCAAAATCTAAATTAATACTTAAGACATATGCATGCATTCAAGGGGGACGTAGGTGGTGGAAAAAATCTGAGATATGGGAGAGGATTTTGACTGTAAAAGTTAGTGAATGATGATTTAAAAAAAAAAAAAAAGCATGATAAATGTTATTAGAGGTATTTTGTTACTTTTTTAGCCACACTATGTGAACTGATACGAATCCAAGCCTATGTCTCCTTTTCCGCATGTCATTCCCCGCTCTCTCTCTCCCTGATTTCCGACTCTATCCAATGTCTCCAATTCCTCCATTAAAGACACAAAAAGCCCAAAAATAAATCTTAAAAAAGAAGACTTCCAAAAAACACAAGTAAGTGTTCAAAGATAGCTAAAAGAAGCCTTCCATCGTCAGTGATAAATCTGTAATGTATGCAAACATCTATGGGAGTCTGAGCTTCATGACAGTGTTTATATCAGGAGCACCCCGGGGGTGAACTTTATGGCTGCACCATTATATCAAACCTCGCGAAGGCGATAATGTTTCCCCTACGTTATTGAACGACAGGCCAATGTTATTTGTTTCCTCTGAGCAAAGGAAGGGAGTGTCAAAACTAAAAGATGGAGTTCAGTCAGATAACTCACGTTTGCATCGTTTGAAATATTATCACAGCAGAACATAGTTTGTGTTTGGCGTCTAGACTCCGACCTCATCACTCCTCAGTTTTAATTTGAGGAGTGCTGGGATGATATGTTAACCCCCCCCGACCAGTCAGAGCCTACAGGTGGATGCTGGGGTGGTGGGAGGTGGGAGCTGAGCAAGAGAGTGCAGAACTGGTGCAGGTCAGAGCAGATGGAGAGACCAGAAACGTGCAGCTTAAACAGATAATTGGAAGGAGGTGTTTGTCAAAGTGTGAAATCAGTGCAGCTCAAGTCGACTGCCTGAACTATCTCACAGGCGTCGCCTCATTTTTAAATCGGAGACGGCTTTTTGGCTGGGTGCAAAAAAAGTTCTGAGAACCTCAACCCTCTGTTTTACCAGCGAACATATGGAGAGAGCTTACTCTACTAAGCCCGGCAAAGGTCCCACTAAACCCAAACAGAACCTCGTCTTCAGCGCTACCCTTTTGAGGATTGTTTCTAAGCTAAGCTAAGATAGCCGTCTCTTGGCTGAGTGAATCAATTCATCAACTTTACTCATACAGCACCTTTCATACAATAATAATGACGCACAAAGTACAGAGGGTATAATGATCAAATGTAAACATTGAAGACGGGGAAATGAGACAATCATTTTTAATAACAGTTAGTGCAAAACCAGAATTTACCCTCAGGGATTAAAAAAAGATCCCTGTCCTGAGGCAAACTTCAGATGTTTGTGTTGGTAGTTGACTCTTTAATGCTTAGATCATAAATGTTAGCTTTAATAAAAACTCAGTTACAATCAATATATCATTATATTGAAGTATATTAAAAGAGAGAATATGAAAAGGTCCTAAAACTACATCAAAAATGGCCTGAATCTGCAGTTTCCTTGGCTTTACAAAGCTTAACATTGAGCTTTAGCTCGTTGGGGTTTAGATGTTAAGATTTCACCAGCAGCTGGTAGCATGGTAAACTGTTCTGAAGACTCACACTGACTTTGTCTTACCGATGCAGTTGCTGTGAGAGTCCTGTGTGAAGCCGCTCATGCACTTCTGCTTGGGATTACACAGGAAAGAGCCCATGGTGTTCTTGCACACAAAGCCCATTCTACAGTTGTGGGTGCGCAGCACACATTCATCGATGTCTAGAGAGAGGGGAGAGAAAAAGAGAAAACATCGATTCAATGAGTCAGAGTGAAAAACCAAAACAACCCACTAAATCATCGAAGAGTTTAAAATCTGCTGTCGACTGTCTCAGCTTCAGCCTTTGCTGTCAATTTGTAAACAGTACAGTAGGTGGCACTGTGGATCAAGCACAGAATAAAACATGTGCATCTTCCTGGAAATGTTTCACTCTTGACAATGTTTAACTTGAGGAAAAATCCCCCTCCTATAAAAACATCATTTGTTCCAACTTTGCAATTAAGAGAAGTTGAGCAGAACTTCTTAAATGACACGTTTTTGGATCTCCAAGCAGTAGAATTCAAATGAAAACATTTGTCCTTTCCACCGCACAGCCACTTTCTCAGAAGTTCACACAATATTGACTGCTTGGAGGAATCGTCCCGTGGCAAAAAAAAATCCAAAGGTCTTCATTTGGGTTTTTTTCTCTCACAGTCATCATCACAGAGATACATTTCCAGCACTGCAGCAGCCATCCGTCTTCCCCTCCTGAGCAGCTAATTAGTTTTTCCCCTGTTGGATGGTCCACTAAATATTACCTTCATTATCTCACTACATTGATTAGTCCTGCCTGGTGCCAAGTGCTGGAGACACGAGTCACAGAGCCACAGAGCCACAGAGCTACAAAGCGCTATCCCGCCTGCACAATGCTTCCTCTCTGGGTGATTCTCTTGTCACATATTGAACCTGGGCGTCTACTGGAGCACAAACATCACGACTGATGGCCAAAGAAAATCAGCAGAAATCTAAATGAAGTCTTGCTGACTGAGCAGAGTTTAGGTCATGACGTGGGACCTAATACTGGTAAAGTATGGTTTAAACCTCAGAATGGAAACGATTTTCAAGAATCTATATAATTTCTACACATCACTCTGTTGATTTGTTGTCACCTAATGTTGATTGTATTCATCTAAACTGGGACTGAGGGAAAAAAACGAGGCGCCTAAATATATCCTGTTCCTGCTAAAGAGCCTCTTTGAAAGCATCTGTCTCCACATCAATAATGCTGGGACACTTTAATACCCTCAATACCTATTAATGATGCACTACACTGAGTCAGATATTTAGGGATTTGTAAGATCCCAAAGGGCCCTTTGAGGACGACTTATTTTAGATTTTTGGGTACAATTAGACAGAGTCATACAGGGGATGTGGTGACGAACTGTGGGACCAGAATAGACTGTGTTGTGCATGCAGGAGAATCTACCTCGCTGTCCCACAGTACGAGCCGGGTCTGCTGTGTGTTGCTGGATGCTCTTTAAAATTACTGGGGAACCTGGAAACACTGAGTTTCACACTCCAACACAAACAGAAGCCTCGGGAACAGGCCACTTATAACTTTCATGGAGGGGAAAAACTTTCTCGCCTGTATTGCAGATCACTTCGCAGGTGAACATGATCCCGTAGAAGTCACATCCTGCATACTGCAAATTTAATTTAAAATAAATATTCATTAAAAGGTTACAAAATATGCATAACAGCATTGCTAAATGTTGTTGTTGCAAGGCATGAACAAAGACTCCAGGAAATAAAGAGTCCAAGAATTAGTCCTGTTTATCTTATTTTAAGCTTTTTTTGTGGATTATCCAACAAGTTAAAAACAACATTGTGAGCTTTTAGTGTGCTGGTAAGTTGATTTTGTTACATTATTGAAGAGCCATGCTAGTTGTTTTTCTTTCATTTCCTGTCGTAGTTTTATAGCCGGTTGTTGGTTTAAGCCTCATGCAGTATGCCTCAAACAGCTAAGAGAGTTGCATTAGTCCTCTGCATTTTCTAAACTGTATTGGCCTTTTGGCCTTGGTTGATAGGTCAGCTGAAGAGAGACAGGATATATATAGTCACAACCACTCTATACTATATGCATTCTCAACAATTCTGCAGGTTTTGATCGCATGAAGATTGACTACAGGTTCGAGCAGCTCCCCAACAACGTGTTTGGCTGTGCAGTGTTTTCCTGCAGGATGAGCTGGTATATGAACCAAAAAATATACATCAAGGCCTTTGCCCCTGGGAATCTTATATCAGCTGAGCTATAACAGCAACTCAATGCTAAAAGGTTTTCTGCTGCACTAGCCTTTTAGAAAAAGATGGATATTGATTGAAAGAAAAATTGTTGTCATTTTCTGTCCTATTCATTATTACTGTAACCCTAACTACCTAAACTCTGCACCATGCATCAGTTCAATAATGATCTTTTTGAAGGTCAAGGTTTGTTCCTCAGTCACAGGCTGTGAGACCACTTTTGCCATACTCCTTGTCAGAACACGTAGGTATGCTACGGATTAGCTGTTATGCTCAAGAGAAAAAGCTAAAGACCCAGCTCTTTCATGAATACCTACTAACTTAATGATGATGGTTTTCGATATCATTGATGGTCTCGATGATGGTTGTGATGATTGTTTTTGTTTGATAACGACGACTTATAAGATGGTTTCTATACTGATTAGAGCTCTCAAGAACTGCCGTCAATGTTGTGCTTTGCCTCGGGTCACTTCCTGTCAGCACCTGTGTGTCCAATCAGACTCAAAGCTGATCGTTTGCTCTTACTGACATTGTTCCCTTTTTTCTAGATCCTTGCTTGTGTTGTTCTTACTCTCTGATGTACGTCGCTTTGGATAAAAGTGTCTGCTAAGTGAATTGTAGGATTGTGGAGATGGCTAAGCGAGGCAGGCTTTCCTCCATTCTTCCTAAGGTACAAAAATCCACATTCACAAAGTGTTAGTGTTAACAAGTTTGATCAGAGGATGAAACATTGTTCCCCATCGTGATGCAAAGGCTAGCATGAAGGTGCACATTCACACCACATGCATACACCATACATGTACATGTGCATGGTATAAGCTGGTTTGAGTTTGGTCTGACTATTTGGTCTCCAAAGGTCTGGTGGTAGGTTTGTGGTTTGGCCCTGCTGTACTATCGGTCCGTCTAATTTGACTCCCCTGCCAGTCAAAAGAAGTTAAAATCCTTCCTGCCTGCTGAAGAAGATGTAATCAGCATCCCTGCTTTGGCAACTCTGGAAATGACTGCTGGGTAAATTGGCTTAATGAAACGCATCAGTTACAATGAACTCACCCTCACAAACACTGTTCCTCAGCTGGTATCCTGCAGGACAAGTGACCCGCAGCTCGCATACAAATGATCCCACTGTGTTCACACAGTGCTCGCTGGGACGACAACTGTGGGTGTTAGTCACACACTCGTCCACATCTGCAGGAGAAAGAACAAGGGAGAGTGTGTGAGAAATGGTGGGGGGGGAGGTGGAGGCGGAGAGAGGATGTATGACCATGAGGTAGAGGTGAAGCTGACTCTCTGAGGTTGTTGATGGACACGGCCTGAATTTAATTCTGTCCCCCCCTGACTGGTCCTGACACTGTCCCCATGATGAGGCTCAATGACTCAGCAGCAGATTGACGTCAGCAAAAATAATCCTGAAAATAAAACACTAACAAAGCAAGTCCTTATAAGAGTTAGTGGAATACCAGAAAATTACATATTTTGTTTTTGCCAGCATGATAATCACTAGCTGGGAAGCTTTCATGAGAGTCTCAGGCTGAGACACTTAAATCAAAACTGAAAGAAAAAAAAAGTCACCCATTTGTGCAGTCCAGACCATATGAAAGTAGTTTTCAAATTCATTGTTTACATTTTCTTAAAAGGAAAAGTTAGAAAAGAGAACACCATAATTTGTCTTGTTGCTTCAAAGCCTCTGACATCGCTCGCCTGCAGGGGCACAGAGACGACACGCACTGGTGACTCTAGTTTACAAAACCAAGGACAGACCGTTTCGTTTCCAAAGCCTTTTCAAACATGAACTCCCGTGACGCCTCTTTGGTGTCATCATGTGGTGTTTTACTGTTGACATCTTGCAGGTGTGTCTCTGATTGGCAGTGACTCAGCAGACCACAGCGGAACAGATGCTTGTGTTGGTTTTAGAGAAGACACAGTTAGAAGAAAGTTCCTTTCCCTCTATTATCTGCTCATCCGGTAAAGGATGCTGTAAGAACCCACCACTGACTTTACTGATTATCACACCCGATTGTAATTATTTAATTTGGTTTAACGTGGTCCATTAAATAATCATTTGAACATTTAACATGGCGTTGTATAACTTTTTGTTGAGACCTCTTGAGTCATGACAAATACATTTATTTTTTTTTATTATTATTTTTTTTTTACAATTTCTGGATTATGAGCAACAGCTAACAGCAACAGCAGGGTCCAACATGTATAAAGGTGCTTCTGTAACACAAATGTAATAGTATAAAACATCATACTGGTGAATGGGGCGGGGGGCAGTAAAGACAAAAAAACTGAGAAAGTCATCTATGTCATAGCCACACCCACTCACTCGTGCTGGGGCTTATTTGTTTTGAAAGAAAATGATGCACTTATCACTTATTCTATCCGACAGGATCAAATGAAAGTGTCTTATTGTAAAAAAAAAGAAAAAAAGATTAAAATGTTTAATTTGTAGTAAATCAGGGATGGGCAACTTTGGTCACAGCAAGGGTCACATTCATTTAATTCTCAATGCCAGGGGGCCAAATTGTAGAATACAAAAACGATTACAGTCGATTATGTCTCAAATTTATCTCAACATGTACCAGTGATCAAATATTATTACGAACATATTTCTGGTTTTCACTATTTCATGGCAGATTTTGTCATGTTTTCTTCATGTTTCATGTCAAAATTGACCTGAGGGCCATATTGAGGGTTGATGCATGTGGCCCCCGGGCCGCCAGTTGCCCAACCCTGTAGTAAACAAACAAATTTGCTATAATGTCTTACTGTATGCAGTGTTATAAGGATGAGGACCACAGCATTAGCAACTAAAGTGTTTGAATTTACGTCTTTGGGTGAAATCCAGCAGATCTATAATGTTACATTTGATTTGCTAACTAAGCTAGCTATGAGTGTTTGGTAACTTATACAGTCTACATGCTCTGGAAAGTTTTGTGTTCAAAAGCCTAAGGTCGTTTTTCTGCTGTCCTGTCTGATTCTTAATCAGCTTTGCTGTCAGCTAGCCATACTTACCGGTGGCGATTACAATTTTATGCAAATGTTCTTAAAAAAAACAAATGATATGCGAGGCGACAGACGCTTGCATATACAGTCACTGACAGTTAGGTGCAATTAATACGGTCATTTCAATATATATTTTCTCCCCTTCATTATTTTCTGTCTTGCACATATCAAAGGCCATGATTAAAGTAACCTGAATATATGTGTGTGCAGAAAAGAAAACAGGCCATTTACCTTAAGATAGACTAAGTCCAGATTTATTATTACCACAACTCATACTGCCCACATTACCCTCCCAGAATACATCATGCAGCGCTGTTCTGCAGGCCGTTACATCAACTTCTGACGTGACCGCTTTGCAAAGCCCCAGTCAAATTTAAAATATCAGTTCTTGGCAAAGGCTAAGTGGTGTTTTGCTTGTGATGCTTGTTTGTGTGAAATAAACTTCACAGGAGCAAACCTTTAAATCTTTATCAGCCAAAAAAAAAAAAAGCTCTGCAGCCGGTAAACAGGCGCTGTTGATTTATGACACTGGTGTGCTCATGCCGAGACAGTGGACTGCCGCTCTGTTGTGGCTCATCTTTATCAAACTGCTGCATACCGCTATCACGCACCATAGCGCATGGCCGATTAGCTGGTTGCTCTGATATCGTTGGACTGGGAATATTACGTGTATATCTGAGTGTCTGTGTGAATGCACGCCGCGTGGCAGTCTCCCAGATTTGAAGATCACCCCAAAAATATCCCACAGGGAAACCAGACGTAAAGGTCTTGCACAAATCTGCGAGAAGGAGCCCAGGCTGAAGAACAAAAGGCAGGAACAAGAGGGGAACATATTCTCTTGTGTTGCCTTTGTATCCGTTGGCAGTCCCTCGCTGGAATCCCTTTTCTCGACTTTCAAAGCTTTTGCTACGGGGAATTTGAATGAACTGTGTGTCTTACAACACCTTCCAACCAGGAGCAGCAGGAGGAGAAAAAAACACTGATCTGAGGTTTCCATCGTGCACCTGGTGTGTGAGAAACATCCTGCAGCTCTTTTCCCTGTAAGGTTATTCACCTCAGAAAACAACACAAGCATCGCCTCTCACAGCACAGAACACAGTTTATTCGATTATATGAAGCCTCTTAGGAACTGCAAGAAAAAAAAACACATTCACCTTACTCACTTAAATGAACACTTTCCCCTTCTGACACTGCAGCAGAGTCTTCAGGACTTTCAGTTTACTGTGCATGCAGCGCTGTGCTGACAAGAGTCCCGTTTGGGGCCTTGCCTTTGCAAATGTCCCCGTTTGTTCCCCCAACCGAGAGACATCTGCTGTCTTCATCGTAGGGAGGATATTTCCAGGGGCAAAGCAAACCGAGCGCTGAATCTGCCTCATCCTCTGGGTCTAGCTCCCCGTCAAGCCGAGGGATGGATGGGACCGTTTCCAATGTTTGTGTATTGCCAGTCTTGCAGAAAGTCGCCTTCTCCTTCCACTCTGGTGGCCAGCATTTTTCCAGTGCGTCATTCCGAGAGCCAAAAAAAGAAAATAAAAGGGGGAAAAAAGTGCCTATTGCCTCAAGGTTCCTTTCCCCCAGGGACACCGAGATTACACAGCAGTGAGGAGTGAAGTGATCCAATACATACAAGGTGGGGAACAAGGACGCTTATTTTTTGAAAAATACAAATGCTTCATCGAACATCGAGGGGAGAGCAACTGGCAGCCTTTGGAAGAATTCCATCAAGAGGCCAGAGGAGACTGTGCACGGGGAGATGTCTGAGAGGCAAAGCGATTAGGCCCAGAAGTAAACACACACCCTGTTGTGCTTTCACACCAGAGCCAGCAGACCGTGAGGTTTTTTTTTTGGAAAGTTCAAGCTGAGATAGTGAAGTCAGCCTTGGCTTATTCGCAGATGTGGTTCTAGACATGAGGTTTAGGATTACACAGCCACAGACAGGTGGGACTGAGAGGATAGCAAGCTGTGAGCATGATTTCCACATCATTATTACGAGGGATTAAGTCAGGAGGATGTGCCAAAAAAAAAAAAAAAAAAAATGATACAAATGAGGAGAATACATGCAGGGCAATGTTTTGTTAAGGCTTTAGTACAATTTGCACGAGACAAGTTTGCCTGGAGACCTCAAGTTATCTAGTTATGACTGCACAAGATGAGCAATCATCTAAAAATCTGCTACGTAAAGGGAAAATTCTGCTACACATTACTGCAGTAATTTGTCAAACAGAAATTGTATTTTTCCAGTGAGAACTGTCACCTCAATGATTCAGAGATAGTTAGATCGGGTATCAGCGACAATGGGCCGATTCATTGGGGCAGATCGATACAATTCAGTTACGGCTCTGTCATCACTCAGTGTGCAGGTAGGCCTGTGCTTTTTGCGGCGCAGAGCTAACATTGAATGGAGGGCGCCAACAATTAAGTATTTGAACTTCTGAGGCTTTTCGAAATATACCGTATGTCCTCAGAAAACACGATGATGTTGTTGGTGTCAAATCAATATTTCAGACATGCAAAGCATTTCCAGACAAAAAGAAAGTGAGCAACAGCACATGGTAAGTGCTGAATATATAACTTTAGTTTTTTTGGGTATAGTAAATGGTAAATGGACTTGAGCTTGTATAGCGCTTTTCTCTTATTCTGACTGCTCAAAGCGCTTTTATTCTGAAGGTCACACCTACACATTCACACACTGATGGTAGAGGCTGCTGTTTAAAGTGAACATCAGAAGTAACTAATCCCATTCATACGTCACCGACGAAGCAGCGGGAGCAACTTGGGGTTCAGAGCCCAAAGAGACATCTGACATGTAGCTGCAGGAGCGCGGGATCGAATCCCCGACCTTCCAGTTGAGAAACATCCAACTCTTCTCTTCCGCTGATCCACAGCTGGCTCAGATGGTAGGAGGACACAAACAATTAGGCAAACCAGTTTGGAAGTATTTCATTCTCGTTAAGCCACCAACTTCTGCAGCTACTTGAAATATCAGCAAAGCTTAGGTTCCAAGGCTGCGGTGGTAGAATGAGTTCAACCGAACTAAAAATGTAGATGAAATGAAGCAGTTAACTTTGTCCACATTGCAAAGAGAATCTTCCCAGTGATGTATTGAAAGCAACAAAACACCTATACTGTACTGTACTTTAAAAATTGGATCAGTGCATCATTAGTATCCTGTCTATGATAAC